CTCCTCCTCTTGGCAGACGTGGATACTGACGTGGATGTCGGGAGCAGCCTGTCTTCAACTGTACATTTCTTGTTGACATTCCAGAAAGGTTGTTCTGTTGCTTGCCGCCGGCCATTGACGGAACTGAGAAGAACGGATGGCGGCTCCTCTTGCCAGACGTGGATGCTGACGTGGATGTCGGGAGCAGCCTGTCTTTGGCTGCCGAGATCTCGACGCTGACGTGGATCAAATGAGTCACTGTGATCCCAGTTACGACAACATCAGGATGGTTAGGACTGCCGTTAATAAACATATCGCCATCGAATTCAAGTAATTTGCACGCGGATGCGCGGCGGAACCGCTGGGGTGCGAGAGTTCACACACATGCACTCCGTTGAAATCGGTCGGTGAGCTGCCGTAGTAATAAGCGTTTTTTTTCAAGCAATTCGCCAGAGGCCAAATGACCGAGGAGTCGCAAGCAGCAGGGCACTGCGAGGGGTTGGTGTACATTTCACTGCCACAGGCCATCAAATACGCCATAAACTCCTGTTGTCATAGGAAACGATACCACATCATAACACACACAAAAACAAAAAAGAGAATCAGGCGACACGGCACAAACCAAGGATTTCCGGAACCCTTGGTTACGATTGCATGCAATCCATACCAAGGGGCTGGCAAGCGAAACAATGAATAACTAGCTGCTAAAATTGTCGACATCCTTCTTCTTCTTCCTTCTTCTTCTTCTTCTTCTTCTTCTTGTGTGTGCTGCGTGGGTCTTCCTCTTGCTTGTCGTATAGGAACTTGCTTCCGAAGCAACGAGCGACGTTGCCTATGCTTTTCTTTAACTCCTTGACCTTGTTCCTTTCTCTCTCCTCGAGTCTTCTCCTCTCTTCTCTGACTCCTCTCCTTCTCTTCTTTCCTTTTCTGCTTATCCGTCTCTTCCTCCTCCTCCGCTGCCGCCGCTTCCGTCTCCTTCTCCTTTTTCTTCTTCTTCTTCTTCTTCTTCTTCTTCTTCTTCTTCTTCTTCTTCTTCTTGGTGGTTAGTCTTCTTGGGCCTCTTCTTTGTGTTGGTGCTTGTTGCTTCTTCTTCTTCGAAGTCTTCCTCTTGGTGCGCCTGTCTTTTTCTTTCCTTTTTTCTTCGGCCGATTGATCCGCAAGAGAACATTGAAAACAACCATACGCATAGGGTATTAACCCCTCAAAAGGTATGAGACTACAACCGCAACCTGTGACTGGCAAATCTTGATCCCACTTGCGGGGATCAAGAGATATACTGTAATTACCTTCCTTCCGTGAAGTTCCGTCCGTCCGTCCGTCCGTGGATAAGGAGGATGGATGGTGGCTATATAGTATCAAGTTATCAACAAATGTCAAATCCGTATCAGTGGAACCACGCTCGCCGGGACCTGTTGGCACTGGTGCGAATGGTACCAAGTTACGCCGATTCCACCAATTTTTTTAACCAATTTTTTTTTCTCGAGCTCGACTTCTCCACCTCTGTCATTCTTCTTCAAACTATTCTTCGTCTTCTCAACCCCTGCAATTGCGTAAACGGGAAGGATTTCACAGCCCTGCCCTGCGGGGTTGCTGTTTAATGAAGCCGTAGGTGTCCGGGATTGGCCTCAAAACGTGAAGGGAAAAGTCATAAAACCTCCCCGCGACGAAACCTTTGTATCGGTTTTCCGCCCAAACGGGAGACAAGGTGCCACAGACCCCAAAATCACTTTCGGCGTCATTTTTGCACCCTGCAAAACACTTTCCCGACAGTTTTACACCGCGGCCGTTACCCGGCCAGCCAGGGTGCAAAAATGACAGCAAAAGTGATTTTGGGACCAGCGGCACTTTTTTCCCCGTTTGGGGGGAAATGGATAAAAAGGTTTCGTCGCGGGGAGGTCTTATGACTTTTCCCAAACGTGAACTTCACGGAGTTATCTCCTCCTCCTCCACCTCCTCCTCCGCCTCCCCCTCCACCTCCTCCTCCGCCTCCCCCGCCACTCTCCACTGATCTGAATGCCCGTCCGAAGGTGGACAGCATATCGACGTCGAACCTGTAAGAGACTATCTTGAAACACCGCAAGTCGTTTTACACGTACAACGCGCTCATTAGTGCGGCCTCGTATTATCCTGCTTTGTCTACAGAAGGTAGACTCGGTCAACGTAAGCGAGAGGAAGCGGCCTTCCTGGCACACAGCAGCCATGAAAGGAACGGGCGGGTGGGAAGTATGCATGGTGGGCCGCGCTCCCTCTATACTTCATTCGCTTTTATTTTTTGGAGTCTTTCTGTATTTTAAAAAAATCAAAAACATAAACGAAAGAAAAAAAAACAAAAAAAACATGAAATGGGTGGGTTTTTCTTTTTTTCCACAGAGAGTTTTTTGCAGGCAAAAAATTAACCAAAAAAATAATAAAAAATACAGTCTTGTAGATATTTTGGAGATCTACGATCACATTTTTTTGTTTGTATTTTTTCAAAGTTCGTATATGTTAAAAAAACGAAAAACATAAAAACGAGAAGAAAAGACACTCACAGACTGTCAGACCCCACCCAGCCCGGGCCTGCCCACACACACACATGAACACACACATGGGCACACACACACACACACACACACACACACACAGAGGGGGAGAGAGAGAGAGAGAGAGAGAGAGAGAGAGAGAGAGAGAGAGAGAGAGAGAGAGA